TTTTAATAAGCAGATGTTATTGTTCTTTGGCCCTTCAGAAAATCAACAAGCAAAATGCCTTGAGCATCCAAAAAAACTGTTGCCGTGATCTTACTCTTGACTGGTCCACTTTTGCTCTGACTGGACCACTTCCACCTTTTGGTAGCCATTGCTTTGATTGTGCTTTGTCTTCAGGATTGTACTGGTAAAGCCATGTTTCATCTCTTGTTACTATCCTTCAAAGAAATGCTTCAGGATCTTGATCCCATGTGTCTAAAATTTCCATTGAAAGCTCTGCTCTTGTCTGCAGCTGATCTGGGTGCACAGTTTTGGCATTCATTGAGTGGAAAGTTTGCTCAGTTTTTTCTGTCAGAATTACGTAAGCTGAACCAATTGAGATGTCTACGGTGTTGGCTATTGTTTCTGCTGTTAATCGTCAGTCCTCTTCAGTTACAGCACAAACAAGATTAATTTTTTCCTTGAAAATTGATGTTGATGGTCTACCACTAAGGTTTCATCTTCAACATTGTCTTGTTTCTTCTCAAAATGAGTTATCCATTTGTAAACTGCTGATTTCTCTGGGACATTGTCCCCATAAACTTTTCATAAACATCAATGATTTTCCCATTATTCTACCCAAGCTTAAATTTGATGTTTGTTCTTGCTTCAATTTTAGCAGAATTCATGTTGCTCTGATAGGGGCTCTTTTCAAACTGATGTCTTATCCTTCTTAGTGCTTCACACTAGATCTTGTTCAGACATGTTATAGTAAGTTAGTATGAGTTTATTTTGGTGCAAAACAAAAATTTGAAATCCATGCATAGTTTTTTGTATAATATGCATTTTCCATGAATTCTTTGAAGTCCCTTTATATATATCTTATATATATATGTATATATATATATTTCATAAGTAATTTTTAAGTCTAACAAATTTTTTAGAAATGCTTCTATTAATTTGATGGATGGGCTGGGCTATTTTTCCCTTAGTTCATGTATTCATAGGTGAATATTACTTATTGCTAGAATAAGATAGGCTTCAGCAAAAATTTTATTTATATTCTTTGTTTTACATATAACACTGAGAAAACTTATTTACACAAATAAGTAGATGGGAATGGAAGATGTTTTGTTATAGCAATGTCACTCGAATCTTTGAACTCCTTCTGAATTGTAAGCCAAAAATCATATAGTAATTTACCATCAAAATTTAATTTTATTAAGTTTAAGCTGACAATTTGATTAGGTCTTTCTTCTATTTTGTTAATAGCAAAGAATTGGAAACCATCTGACCTGCAAAAGAATTTGTAATCCAGTTCTTAACAGGCATTCACTCTCTTTAACCCCAACATTAACATTTTGAGTTGTGGTTAGTGCAATGCCCTAGAGGTTTTTACACAACCCCAAAGCAAGTCACTAAAGAGTCCAGATGGTTGAAAGGTATTCCATTCTTTTAACAAGTGAGTGAAGTGATTGGCAAAGGGGAAACGAGGCAAAGGTACATTCTCAGCCAGACCCATTTTAGTACAGTACTGGTGGAAAAAGAGGGTCTATGAAAAGATCATCTAAAAACTACCCCTGCTTCCACATTTCTTGAAAAGTCTTTCTGAAAGTTCACGTATCTCAATTTGAAGACCATTGTACTAAGCATCTGGACATGTTGAGAGAATGCATTACTTTCAATAACACAGAGAATTCAAGAATCCCTAAATTTATCTCAATCTTTGCAACTCCATGGATTCACTCCAAATATAGGTGTAGCCTTGAGACGGCTATAGCAAGGGTTAAGAAGGAGCTGACAAAATGGCCATAACCAATGGCAAAGGAGGGTGTGGGAGAACTTTAAGAGTCAACAAGTTTTGCTATTACCATTTTGCTAGCACCTCTCTCTTTATTTTAGTTAACGAGATTCTTATAATTCCCTCAAGGTTTGAACTGGCTTTGGGTCAGAGAGGACCAGAAGGTTCTCATGTTTTCTCCCTGAGGAATTCTGTAATTTTGTTGCCACAGCCAAAGCTGAGGGAGGTGGGGATAGGAAAGCTTCTCTCTCTCTCTCTTTTTTTTTTTTTATTTAATATGAAAATAATTGCCTCTACTCTTGGAGACCTGACTTAACTAGACTAATCTGATTTTTCACTGGCAAAACTAACACTAAAATGGTATTGCTCTGAGTTCTCTAATTATAGAGCAATCACACGTTTTCTCAACAGATACTAAAGTCAAATGCTATAATGTTGAATGAGGTCATTGTGAATAACTTGTTATAAGGCCTATTTTAAGGGACCACATGAATTTCAGTGAATATTATGCAGTGACAGGAAGTAACAAATACAAAGTTTACTGCAAAAAAAAATATATTATGAATTGCTACTATAATTTATTTAAACAGTGATGAGGTTCCACAAGTTACTTCATAAGAAGCATGTTCACTGACCATAACCTTTGTTCTTCTCCCTCCACACTCCTCAATCTCAAACCCTTTCTGGTTTCCCCTCTCTTAGCTACCCTTTCCTCATTTTCTTCCCTCCACAGCCGAAACACTATGATTAACCTTTTGATGGATACTCTAACCAGTACTCTCAGCCCCCGTGTTCCCTTGAACTTATGCTTATCCATTCTGCCAAGTCCTAGTCCACAGTTGAACAACCATCTGTTCCCTCTACTATTGCTTCTAGTTTGCCAAGTACCGCTGTAGAAAATCGTATAACTGCTGATTCATGTCATGAAAAATCTGCAATTTCTAAACTCACCTTGACCTTTGCACTACTTGGCAACCCTTTTACTCTTGCTTGGTTGACTTCCTTTCCCATTGTTCAGGTGCTATTCCAAATTTCAAGTCATCACTCTTCCAAGGTTTCCTACCACACCTCCTCAATCAACAGATAACCTAACGTTCTACTTCAGGAAAAAAATAATGTTCAATTTCCCTTCCTTCCACTTCTAACAGTCATCTATAACTTCCCCCTGTGTCAAGGGATAATATCATACACCAGTTCATCACCTTTCAATACTGCTTTTTGGTTTTGAAGCTCTTTGCTATAAAGTCTGTCTGTACACATTATTACAAGGCAAACATTCTTCTTGGAAGTCATGTTGCAAGATAACAAAGGGGCATCAGAATGTTAGGAAATAAAAGGTGCTGATTGGTTATAGAAAAGAGCATATCAGAATAGCAAGTGTTCTTCCTCTTTGAATCATTCATAAGCAAGGACAGAAAGGAAGGTGAGTTGGGATGCTGCCTGCCCATTAAATGTTTTAAAATTCTGTCATAGTTCTGCCAACCAAATGTCACAACACGAAATTTAAAGAGGCTATGCTTTAGTGATCAATGCCATTTTTGTCCTCTACCATTGTCTCTACTTTGACTATATATGCAAAGATGTTACTAATAATAATTCATCCATTCAGTTCCTTTTTTAAACTGTGAGGTTTTTGCTTACCCTCATTCAATCCAAATTTTTCATGGAAATTCATGGAAATTCATAGGGCAACCAATGTGAATGTTGACTTGATACAGCTATTCTAATTTAATAAAATATTACACTAGGCATCATATAAATCTTAAAAGTAACATATGTATATTTTAGGAAAAGTATTTGTAGAGACTTCCTGAGAAGAAATTTTGTCATAAAGGATACTTAGGAGAGTTATGTATCCTATCTAACCTGTGGGACCCTGAAGAATATTTAATTTGGGGAGGTCTCTCTTTCCAAAAAAAATACAAAATTATGAATATGAAATGAGGTTCAGGGCCTTTGGAAGAGGTCTGTGAAAATGAAGCTTAAGCTTCACTAGCCTCATATAAATCAGCTTTTTTTGTATCTGACCACTTAACTGTGGCTTTACGCAAACCTAAAACCCAAACCAAATAAACAAAAACCCACTAAAATGTTAACACCTAATATGAGCAAAGCACTTTACATAATATTACATTTCATGCATATGACAAACCTATCAGGTCAATATTACCATTCTCATTTTTACAAATATGGAAACAGAGGCTCAGAAAACTTATTAACTTATAGGCAGCTCACTGCTCACAGAGAAACTGACTGAACTAAGGTCTGACAAACTAAATCTTGTGTTATTTCCACTGCAATATTCTGCCTCTAATGCTCTGCTGTTTCCCAAAAGATAAAAGGGTTAAATTACTTTGGAGAATACCCCTAGAAAATGACTAGAAATGCTCAGTTAATACTTGAAATTGACATGACAACTCACATTTGAGAGCTTCGCTGAAAATACTCCCTTAAAACTGTGTTTAAAAGGCATGACAAAACAAATGTGTAACTAACTCTTGGGGTTATCTTCTGTTCCTTAAGTGACATAGATGAAGACAGAAGATCTTAGGGTCCAGAAGAAATGTGGTTCTAATAAAGAGGAAAAGAGAAGCAGAATCAACATCTTGAAGTGAGCCTAGAATTACAATCTTCCAGGAAAGACTCTGGCTAGGAAGGATATAGTAACAACATGGACCTTTCACAAATTAAGTTCTCTTGCTATGCTTCCAATATACTTTCATCTAGCCATTATGGTAATACGTTTTAAAGATTGGAAAATAATGACAATGGTACATATATTATGCTATTCCATTATATCCATATCCTATATTTGCCAGTTTTGGCTCTATTTTTTAAAAAATGTCTCTTAGAAGTAGGCCCTCCTCCTCCTAAGGTCCCCAGAAGGTAAGGAGATAGATGCTGTGTCTTTATCTTTTCTTCACTCACAGAATCTAGCACCGTGCCCTACAGATGGTAGGTCTTCCACAGAAGTGTACTGCCATAGAAAATAACATTGAGTTATTTTTGACAGGCCACCATGTTCTAACACAATAGGAATTCCATAATGATAGATATACGGTGATTCTATCCTATTCATTCAAAGACTTCAGAATAAAACTTTTGGCATTTGGCTAGAACTGACCAGATGTAGTTAGTATTTTCAGTCAATAAGCTGCCATTGATGTTGGAGTTACTTAAAAGACTTGTTGATTTTGTGGTCTTAGGGCCATTGTGACCTCAAGCTGTAGGTAAAAATCAGTCCAATGCAACAGGAGTTTCAAGAACAGCAGCACAAAAATGATGACTTAACTGGATGGGAAAAGAAAACATACATTTTCAAGAAAGCCTCTTCATTCTTAGAGTAGACATTTCCCTTCAAGATGACAAGTGGTGCAAACTCTTCAGGATCTCGCTTGCCCTCAAAAATAAGGTGAGTCAACAAAAAGAAAAAAAAAATAAGGTGAGTCTTTGATGGAAGATGCTAAGTGGTAATTATCCAGGAGGGAAAAGAGGGTCTCTCTGTCTGTCTCTCTCCCTCTACTAACTCAGGCTAAGGCAGATAATATGGTGTCTCTTCCCACAGAAGCTCTAAGATAGATGACAACTACTTGAAGGAATTGGATGAGGATTTAAAGCTAAGGAGGCAGGAACTTCTAGAAATGCTAAAACCTCTAGAAGATAAGAACAACCTCTTATTCCAGAAGTTAATGTCTAACCTGGAGGAAAAACAAAGAAGGTAAGGGCTCCTTACTCAGGATTCTTAGAGGTAGAAAGGCTGGAGAACTTAATCTCCACAAGACTAGCAATAATTACTTACAATGTTTTTTGTTTTTTTTTTTAATTACTAAAAGGTTTGAACATTCAGCTGTAGTAGGTAAACAATTTGTAACCACAAAGTCAGAGTGACAATAAATCCTTTATTTTCTTTTGGTAAAATGACTCATCCCTCATCCCATGGGGCTATAGTTATCACTCTTCCTCCCTAGGGTGCCCACCAAGAAACAGTTAAGAGCCTTTAATAGCTTCTGTCTATCATGGTCACACTGATAGCTTCCTTATCATGTTTGTGGAATCACTTTAGAATAAATGACTCTACTCTTTCTATGCCAAGTAGTGGAATGGCAATCTTTTCTGAGCCTAGGAGCTCTGTGAATTGGGGTATAACCTCTCTAAATATACTAGGTAGCTGAGGTCTTAACTCTTTACTAGAGCACTCACTCTTCTTGGGGCCCACCAACTGTTTCCTTTCTAGTCTCAGAAAATCTCACCTCAATGGGTCCACCTTTATTCTATACCCTTATCATAATCATCTCAAGGAATTCAGACTTTTGGAGAACAAAAGTCAGGCAGAAAGTTGTGGTCATGCACCAGTTGTTTATAACCCAGCAACACAGAGTTCTTTCAGAGCAAGACAACACAAAGGCCTGGCTCTCTGCTTAGAGCTGAGGAGAAACAAGTAAAAGGAACACAAACAAATTAATTAACGCCTTTTAAGGAATATCCTCTCTCACAGCGAATGACTTGGTATTGATTCGGATTCTGTTAGAACTTCTTAATGGCCTGCATTCTCTGGGGTCTACCAGGAGGATATACGTGGTTTCCCTAACAAACTGAAATATCTTTATCTAGAGAAGCAAGGGGGTAGGAGAAGGTGGACAGAGATGGGGTAGGAAATAATTCTGGGATTTATCCTACAAGATAACAGGTTTGTCCATCTCCTCCTTTATAGGGGCAGAACCATCCTTCTTCTCCCAAAATTCATATACCAAAACATTCTTCTGAGGGAGGTGGAAAGGACTCTCACTGGCTGTTGGAGATCTAAGTTTTGAGCATTAAAGAGCACATAATTCATTATAGAGCACATAGATAAGGCAAATGTCAATTAGGAATGGGATCATCCTAGTTATAGAGACCTATGTCTAGAAGGACTTCCATAACTCCTGAGATTTTTAGTCCCTGTCTAATTTCCATGGCAGAGTACTTTCTGACTGGTTGCAGAATATCAATATTACCCATTAGAAGGCATGTATGTTTTGTGATATGTTTTATGTTTTATGTCTCTCTTCCTTCTAGCCTGCAGATCATGAGGCAGATCATGGCAGGGAAGGGGTGTGATGAATCCTCAGTCATCGAGCTCATTAAGGAAGCAGAGGAAATGAAACAGAACCTGGTAAGAGGTTGGTGGGTACTCCAGGAAAAGCCTCCTAAACAGGGCTCAATTCCATCTCATTGTTAGATGTGTAAGGAAAGACAGAATACTCATTTCTAGCATCTGGTGCTCCAATACTTATATCTCCTTGATGTATAGAGTCCAGGCTGATCCAAAGGGAGACAGATGAAATGTTTGGAAAAATAGGGACTAACTAGCAAAAATTATATTTCTTTGATTTTTTAAAAACTTTTCATCTAGGGATTAATGAATACAAACATATTAACGATTCACATTTCGGAAAGAATAGAAAATACCTATCAAAGTAAGAGAAAAGAGTTTGTTCTGATTCTTTTTTTTTTTATTTCAGGATATTTTGGGGTTCTTACTAGATTTTTTAAAAACCAACAATGTAAAGGATCTTAAAAATTAGAAATATTGGTTTAAGCCCCAGAGAAATTGCCATATAATGAGAACATATTAAGTGTTAGGAACTCATTTCTACTGATACCATCTCACAATCATTATAAAGTTATTATTTGAAATAATGACTTGTTATGTGTGTTTTACCATAATCATCATCAAACTCATCTTTCATGTTCCTCGATCTGAGACTAGGCACATTCATTATCTTCGTCTGTGGTTTACTATGTCCTTGTACCCAATTTCCACCATTACTTAGTAACTTCTTCCAACCTCACTTCAATGGCAGGACAAACACGTTTTTGTTTGTTTTTCCCCCCTCCAACAGGAAAGGAAAAACAAGACGCTTCGGAAGGAAATGGAGATGCTATGGAACAAGGTATGCCTCTAAGGATCTCTTGAAAGTATCGTCCTACAGTTCATAATACAAAGAACCTCCACTTTTCTCTGGTCTCCATTCTCAGTTTTTTATGTCTCTGCTTCCACTCATGCCTCATTCCAATCCATTCTTTGCACAGCAGCCATAGTGATATTTTTAAAACAATCAAACCATGTCACTCTTCTTACAAAAAACCTTTACAGCCACTCCTTATTGTGGCATAATCTGGCTCTCACCTACTCTCCATCCAGTCTTCTCTCATAGATAACCTCCCTTGGCTTTCTATGTGTGCAGCCACCACACTGGCCTCCTTTTGATTTCTCAAACATGCCAATACTTTTCTGTCTCAAGGACTTTGCTCTTGCCTTATCCCCTGCCTGTAATGAAATTTTTTCATGGTTGGCTCATTCTCATCCTTCAGGTCTTAGCTTAAATGTCACCTTCTCAGAGAGACCCTCCTTGTTTGCTTGATCTAAAATAAAATAGGGCACCCTCTGCTTACTTTCTATTATACAACTCTGTTCGTATCCTCCATAGCTCTTTTCATAATATAAACGTATTATTATTTTTACTGTATTTTTTTTTACTTTTGTCTTGTCTCCCTGCCCTCAATACAAGCTCCTCTAGTATCTTGATTGCTTTGTCTGAATCCTTAGCTCCTAGCACAATGCTTGGCACATAGTAGAGAATTAATACATTTAAGTTGAATGAATGAATACAAAATATCCAATTCTGATGTCTCTATGATTTTACAGCACTCACTGTATTGTTTAAGATAACAATATTAGGGCCTTTTACTGGGAAACTGGGGCTAAGGGGATGATGGGAAATTCCTTTGTGGTCTAATCCCTTGGGACCCAAGTGCTCTTTTTTTTTTTTTTTTTTTTAAATATATAAATAGAGTATGCAACTAGAAGAACAGATTTTGTCTTGTGATATAAACAGGTGTGTGTTGTGATCTCTGACTGCTTTTTGTCATCTCACCTTTCCACAAATAATCAGAATATCTTTAGAATACAAGCATCTTGTATTGAGATCTGTTCTGGGTTTTCAGTGGCAGCTACATATCAATTTTGTGAGGTATCAGAAGTTTTAGTTTCGGGGTTCTTGAGTCCTTGTGACAGGAAATGTGCCAGCACAATTCCTCTATTAAAATCCACCTTCTCCAGAGCTCCTAAAGACTTTTTATTATAAAATGAGAGGTGTCCATATGTGTAGCTTGTGATCAACTTTCCCTATCCATGTTTCAGGGAAAAATGAAGAACAGCATGCCTTGTGGTCAGGAACACAGGCTTCAAAGTCAGAAAGAAAGATCTGGTTCAAATTCTAGCTCTGTAATTTCCTAGCTATGTGACCTCCCAAAATGACTTATCCTCTTCAAGTGTCAGTTTTCTCATCTATAAAATGGAAATAAAAATAGTCCTAAAAGAGCTGTAAAGATTAAATGCAAATGTTTGTAATGTAGCAGAGCAGTGAAAGTTAGTAGAGTAATGCAGTAAGTAGCTTAGTAACTGGCATATAATAAGGGTTCAGTTAACAGTTTTTATTATTATAAAATACACTCAAGGGACCGAATGAAAGGACTGAACCCCCTTTGGTAGTACACTTTTCATGTCAGGCCCTGAGAAGTTGTTGACTGGCAGAAGCCAAAAGCTTTAACTCATACTGGTTTTCCACTTCCCTCATTAATTTCCACTAATTTAAAGCTTTGCCAAAATGTCTCTGCACAGACATTCGAGCCAGAAGAATTCAGTGATCAACGAAAAACACCGCAGATAAAAAATAAGGCAGAATTGCAGGACGGAAAGGCAAGTGAACTGAATACACTCAGAATTTCAAGATTGTTGATGCCACACAGCTGGAGATAGCTTGTTGACAATCAGGGCTAATTTGGGTAGGCAGACACATAGGATCTGGGTTTTTAGGGTACATTAGACGTATGGTCTACTGAGACATTGCACTTCTGTCTTGTGACCTCCTATTTCTTTAGCTTTCTTCTTTCATCCCAGGCTCCCAAATCCCTCTCATCACCTAAGAAGACCAAGGAGTGAACTGGAGACATCACTTGCAGAGAAAGTGAAGGAGATGAGGAAGGAAGGTAGTACAACCATTCTAAACAGTAGTGGCTTATAGGGATGATAAATTAGAAATATTTAATGTTGTAGCAATCTACCTAAGTTATGGTATGTTCCTGAAACTATGAAAATTGTCACAGATCTGGTTCCTTTGGGATATTATATTTGAGTAGAGTGACATCCAACTTTCTGGGAAGTCATGTTAGTGCAAAGTGAGAGAAGCTATACCAACAATGACAACTCTGCGATAGCTATGTGATGTCAGAACACTTGTTAATTTGTCTTTGAAAATTTATTTAGAGGTATTATGCTTGTATCTCAACTTCCCATAACCAACTCATTCACAGAAAATAACCCCATTTAGATTTTAGCTTCTAGAGAGTGGATTGTACACGTGAGGCCAATTAGGATTGTGCCATTGAAACCAATTTAATAATGAATCTATGACATCATAACTCTACTATAAGGTTTTTCGCAGCATACTGAGAGAACATATCTGATCTCAATTTACTTTGTCACCCAGTGCTCTTTCTTCCACCAGGAAAAACAGAGGAAGATGGAATGGGTCAAGTATCAGGAACAAACCAACATCCTTCAGGTACTAAGATCTTCCAAGGCTGGACATGAGATGCAGTTTCATTCATACAACATAAAGGCTTTTAGCGCCATACTGTTAAGTCCAGTCCCCTCATCCTGGATTACCGATTGTCCTGCTAAAGAAATCTATCTTGTGGAAATGGCTAAAGGGACCTATCTCTGGCTTCACCTTGAGTAACTTGGAATATATGTTCTTGATTTTGTTCTATTTGAAATGGGGGGAAAAATCACAAATACTTTCTACCCATTTTTAAAGACTGAGTATGATGGGATTATTTTTTAACTTCTGGGTAAAGTTGATCTAGGTAACAATAATTTTAGAGAAGCCAATACTGTATGTGTAGTTTTGAAAAATGTCCTCTTTCAGAACAACTTTCACGGCAAAGTGATTGAGCTGAGAATTGAAGATTTGAAGAACTACCAGAAGGCTAATGACCTGAAATTATCACTGTACTTACAGCAGAATTTTGAGCCAAAGCAAGCGTTTTTAAATCTTCCTGGGTCCCAAGGTAGGTAGAAAATCCTAGGTATACAGTCTGAGGTTTTGTTTTGTTTGTTTTACATTGGAGATGTAAGTGAACAACACAATGCCTGGCATATAATAAGTTAAGTTTTAGTGGTATGATAATAAATTTTTTCACTATCATCATTATTATTATTACTCAGAAGCTCTTGTATAAAGGTAAAGATTCTCTCTGGAGGAAATTAAGACTTCCTTTGTAAAAATAAAGCAATATATTATGTTCTTAGCATATGTAGTTGATGCATAGTTGGCATTCAATAAAGTATTAGTTTCTTTCCCACCTCCTCCCCTTTCCTAGAAATTAGAATTGTTTGAGCTCACGCATTTTGTTAGAATAGACTTTGCTATTTCAAAGAAGGCCAAAGAGACAGACATCTGACAATGGTTATGAATTTTACCAACCCATTTGTTCATCTGAGAGTTCCAGTGATTTCCCTCAAAGAATTTATGGCATCAGTAGCAGAAATCACATAGTCTATAAAAAAAATACAATAAAGGAATGAATCTGGGGGTCAGGGAAAAATTTTTTAAATTTTCAAATATCTATGAATCTGAATTCTGTATTTTTAAAAATGGTCATTCAATGAGAAATCATAGCCAAGGGAAGACAACATTCTATCTAATGTCTCTAATCTCTTCTCGGCCTTATTCCATAAAAGCCTTGAACAGCTTATAAAAAAATCACATGCAACACATAGGGTTAAATAGATGAGTAAATCAAAGGAAAGGGAAAATAAGTTGAAGCCAGGTAAATACATGAGAATGAATAATGAAGTACTATATAGTTGGTAGAGGTAGGCTGAACATTTGGTTCTGAATTTCCTAGCAGAAGGAAACATGGATTAGCAGTGTTCATGAAGTAATGGCAAACCAATTGCTCAGGAGAAATAGTTTTTCCTGGTACTGACACCTTAGATAAATTTCTCCTCCAGGTCTATACAGTGGGGACAGGACGCTGTATGTGTGACAACGTCAATATCCTCAATAATATTTCTAAAATGAATTCAGAATCTAAATTTCCTAGGCTGTTTCTCATTTATTCTTTGATGCAATGAGATAACAACTTATAAACTTAAAATTTTTAAAAAAGTGATGGATCACCTCAAGATGATTTGGTCCAGGTACATAGTACTATGCTGGTCTGGCTTGATCCATAGGTAAATTTTAAAAAATCTAGAAGACTAGATGGACTACCTATCCTTCAAGTAGTGTTATTCTACACATATTTTTCTTTCAACTGATATTTTGATAAGAATTGGACAGTAGAGTGCTGGAAAGAAAGAACTTGGAATGCAACCAGAAGCAGTATAAAATCATTAAGATACAATTTAAAAAGACAGAGGAGAGGCCAGGCGTGGTGGCTCACGCCTGTAATCCTAGCACTCTGGGAGGCCGAGGCGGGCGGATTGTTTGAGCTCAGGAGTTCGAAACCAGCCTGAGCAAGAGTGAGACCCCGTCTCTACTAAAAATAGGAAGAAATTAATCAGACAACTAAAAATATATAGAAAAATTAGCCGGGCATGGTGGCGCGTGCCTGTAGTCCCAGCTACTGTCGAGGCTGAGGCAGAAGGATTGCTTGAGCCCAGAAGTTTGAGGTTGCTGTGAGCTAGGCTGATGCCACGGCACTCACTCTAGCCCGGGCAACAAAAGTGAGACTCTGTCTCAAAAAAAAAAAAAAAAAAAAAAAAAAAAATTAGCTGAAGGTTATCTCAAGAGATCTATAGGGTAAGAGGACAAATTCTTTTACCTCCAGATTAAAATCAGGCCTAAATTAGTAAATAGTGCAGGGTTCCATTCAACTTGATTGCCTCAGGAGGTTTCTTTTTCTTTGCTTGCAGAACATTGAATCAATTTTGAACTGGAACTGCCACAGATCAACACCTTTTCTCTTCCCTTATATTCCTGGAGAATTAAGTGATAGGGTACTATACTATTCAGTTACCACAAATTAATGTAGCCACAGGCATGAGAGACCCATTAGTCCTGTGTTTTATTGATTTTGCATTCATTGAGTACTGATTATAGGCCAGTTTCATTTTCTAACACACATATACAAAATCTTTGGGTTTGTTTGTGTGATAGTGGATTTGAAATCTAACAGAGTCCTAGATTTTGGTTATGTTGACCTATTTATAACCTCTAGTGTTTGATTATTGAAAAGAAAACAAAAGATATGTT